GCTGAGGATCGAACCCGGGCCGCACGCATGCCAGGGGAGCCGATTGAGCCACATCCCCAGCCCTAATATAACTTCTTGTAAGCTCTTTTTTTCCCTGTGTACTTGTGAATAAACATAATATAAAAAAATCGTGAAAAGATAATATCTTGAAAGAAATGCAAATTTCATCAAGAACCAGGATTGTTCATTTGTTAATTAGATGCCAGTCTTTGAGATTAAGTTCCTTATTTTATTGTTATTTACTATAAGCTTACTTGAGGAAAACTAAAATTTCATGCATAATACATTCTTGAAAATGTATATGAAGACATCTAGAGTGCTACCTTGGGTAAGAATATTAAATATTCTCTAATATTTAAAAAATGTTTATATGGGTTCAGTGAGTATATAAATAGAGTTTAAGGTTTACCACTTTTGGTATGTTTATTTATAAAGTTCCACCTTTGTGCCAGATATATGGAATTTATGAGACTTCTGCTACTCAGCATTAGTACCAATGTATGATTTTTTTCTCTTTGCTTTTACTTATTTTTATACAATAAGGACAAAATTTAGAAAAATATTATAATACTTGTATGAAAAATGTTGAACAAAGGTGGATATATATCTGAAGCTGATATTTTCTTAGAAATTTTACTACCGTTCATTGCTGCTGTATGAAAGGAGATTGAGTATTATGCAGAAAAATGTGTCTATGGAAATCGATGATTATCTACTCTGTACTCAGTAGCAAATATGACTGGAGCCAGTTACTTTCACAGTTAAAAAGATAAATCTATCATTTTTGTATCCTTTATTACAAGAAAAAATATTGGAAATTCAGATATCACATGTGATACTGTTATTTTTATTCTTTTAAATGTACTTGTAAAGGTATACATTAATTTGTATATTAGATTATTTTCATGTACTATTACTTCCAAATTCTCCATAGTATTATCCTTAGGCTACAGATTTTGACCCATTGGAATTTTTTAGATTATGGCCAATGCCAAAGTGTACTGCAGTTTTTTAAGAATTTTCTGTATGCTAATGATGTTAAGTCTCTACTTTAGTTCGTCATTTACGTTTTCTTTGCATATAATAAAGTTTTTCATCATTCAACCAAATCTATATAAAACCTATTGATTTTTAAAATATCTTCTTATGCTTAGAAAGTCTTCCATATATTGGGATGGCAAATATTTTTTCTTGTCTAAGGTTATATTTTTTGGAGTTAATTTGGTCATAAGACGAAGTGCTAATAACCCCTTTTTCTCAAAGTGTTGTTAACTAGTTTTTCAGAGCCGATTACTGAATAATATTTTTCTTTTTTTGTTGTAGTTTTAATATAGATCTTTTTCTTTATATTAATAAGATTAAATATGAGTCTCAATAAGATTATATCACATAATAATGAAGGTTTTAAAATGAGATGATGGATAGGAAAGGAATTTTATATTTCTGTTTTTATATAGAAGCGATACTTTAAAAAATTTATTTAGCATGCATTGATTATTGATTACTCTCTAAATTGTTTACAGGGCTGGGTGCAAGTGGCACATACCTGTAATCCCAGCAACTCGGGAGGATGAGGCAGGATTGAGAGTTCAAAGCCAGCCTCAGCAACTTAGACCATAAACAACTTACTGAGACCCTGTCTCAGAATGAAAAATAAAAAGAGCAAGGGATGTGGCTCATGTGGCTCAGTAGTAATGTGCCCCTAGCTTCAACCCCCAGTGCAAAAACAAAACAAAAAACAAAACAAAAAATTGTCTAAAATATTACAACAAAATCAGAATCTTTCTATTTTTGTAAGTGGGTAACATGTTTATTAGTATCACTTTCTACTCAATATGTGATATGCTAAATATATTATTGAGTTGATTAATTAAAATATTTTCTTGTTGAGGTGTTTTTGCTTAATAGTTAAGGCTTTTTACTTCATTTAAATGTATTATTTTCTCCAGAATTGTGAGAAAACAAATTTTTATTCTTTATATAAAAAAACCCATAATGTATTATTTCCCTTTTCCTTCCCAGAGTACAATTTATATATCTTTAAAAATTTTGTTAACAATAGAATTTTATCCAGTCATGATGAAGAATGAAATTTTTTAATTTGCAGTAAAATGGACAAGAACTTGAGAATATAATGTTAAGATAAATAAGCCAAACTCAGAAAGTCAAGAATTGTAAGTTTTCTCTCACATGTGAAAACTAAAAAGGAAAAAGGAATTGAAGGGGGGTGGAGGAATCTCAGTAGAGGAAAAGGGACCAGGGAGAGGGAGGAGGGGAGGGAAAGAAGAAATACTAGGGAGTGATATTGGCCAAATTATATAGTTATATTGTGTGTAGGTATGAATATGTAACAACAAATCCCACCATTAATTTCAAGCATAGTACACCAATAAAAATATAGAAAAATGTTTTTAGCAGAAACTGATATTTTTTTCTTTCTTTTTCAAGGGAAAAATTTATACACGAATGAATATGTGGCAATTAAGCTGGTAAGTTCATATATCTTGCTTTTCCTTAATTATTTCCTTGTTTATGTTTTAATTATGTTTCATTTTCATATCATTTATAATTTGGGTGTTTATTTGAAAGGGAAAAATAATATGCATAGTCTGCTTTTTTCATTACTAAAATGCTAATATCATCGTGACCTTCAAGTACATGATTGATCTGTGTAGAATGTTAGTGTTTCTCTGTGCTTCACAAACTAAGTCCTTTTACTTTGGCAACTTTACCGAATAAATTTTGGCTCTATATTTTTTTTTCTTTTAGTTATAGATGAACCCAATACCTTTATTTTATTTTATTTTATTTTTTGTGGTGCTAAGGATTGAACTCAGTGCCTCACGCATACTAGGCAAGTGCTCTACTACTGAGCCACAACTCCAGCCCAATTTTCACCCAATTTTTAATTTAAGGTAGCATTTTTAATTAGATAAAAATTAGAAAGCAAGATTTCTCTTCCTGATTCAAACATTTGGACAAAACAAATGTGTCCTTAAGTATTCAGAATTACATTCTTTGAAAACATACTTTCAAGTAAGCTTCTGAAATTTTTTCTATTGACATTTTATAAATCAGGTAAAGCTGGCTATTGTTTGACTTTTAGGGTTCAGAAATGCTTGACATGGCTGTAGGATAGCAGGGAAAACTGGCTCCCATGGGACTAGTCTGGGTTGGTTTGTTGTTTTTGAGGCAGGACCTCATGACATTGCCTATGCTGTCCTTGCACCCATGATTCTCCTAGTATCTCCAAGTATCTGAGATGACAGGAATGCACTACCTTATGTGACTTCATGGGACGGTTCTGAAGTCCTGAATGTGCTGCTATAATAGTTAGAGGATGGATCTCTTTGGAAGAATTGGGGCCTAGGAATTATTTTTATAAGCCATACTTTGCTCTTCTATCTGACTTGCCACCCACGTTTCCCTGAGGCTTAGCATGGCTTGGTTTTTGGTCTGCTTGCCTTTGCCAATCTTGTCTCTGCCGATATAATTTGTATTATTAGGGTGATATGAAACTAATATATAAAGAGAGACTTTTTGAGGAAGAGGCAAGTAGGAGGAATTAGAATAACTTTTGAGATGAAGTAGAAAACTCCTATTTAGTGTGTCTTTGTGAGTATAGACCAAATTTCACTGTAAGAAATACTGTTTATTTTCACTTGAAAATAAAGATGTATAGTAGACTATGGCACCATAAGGAGAGATTGGCTGGTTGATATTTGGCATTTGTTTTGATAAGTTCACTTTGATTTCAAGTTTATTCCTTGGCATTATATTAGAAAATCTTATTTTAGTTAGTTAATTAATTAATTAAATTTTGTGTTACTGGGTATTGAATTCAGCAATCCAGCACTCTACCACTGAGTTATATACACCCTAGCACCTATCACATAAAATCTGATTAGGTCATTATACCAAGATTGTTTCTGTTTCTAGAGTTGGATTTACAATCTCACAGTTAATTTCTCAGAAATGAAAATATTCAGCAGGGTTTATTTCTAATTTATAATGACATATTTTATTATTATGTGTGCAAAGTGCTTAAATTAGTATAAACAATGTTTCCTTCCTGTAGGCTGATCTACATAGAAAACTAAATTAAAACTTAAAGTTTCCTCATGAGCATGAAATCAGTACACAGAAGAGGAGTTACTATATGTGAATCATAGTGAGGAGGCCCAGGATACAGGAGCTGGACAGTAACTGAATGGACCCTATTGATTTTTCTTTCTTTGGAATTCTTCCTTTCCATGTTCAAGGCCAATGTTCTTGAGTCTAGACATTTTATGGTTTTGGGTTTGAGGGGGTAGAGTGTAAGTATAGAAGTATGGCCTGTATTCTGTGTTACTGATGCAGCATCCTGTAGTGAGTAGCTGCATTCAAGAAAATATGTCCTGTATGTCAATCATTTTAATCAGCTAGACCAAGGCAGCTAAACCATGTGTCAAAGCAGGAGCCACTGCTCTAGGCAACTTTCCTTGTCTATTTCAGTCATCAAGTAGTGACCTTAGATCATTTATTTTTTAGATTTGGTACTTGTTTGTTTTCTTTATACCTCTCATGCCTTAGCAACCATTTGTTCTGTCATTTTTAAGTCTTCTTACTCATACATACAAGCATTGCTTTTTAGTTTATTTTGTGGCATATCACCATCCCTTTAATTATGTTATTTCCTTTAAAAAATTTTGTCTATTTTTAAAGCACAGCAATCAGCTTTACATATAATAATTTATCAGAATACTTGGTGGTAACGGGGAATATGTTTAGAATCTATGTCTTTAGTATTTTGAGGTTGAAGTATGGTATTTAGTCATGCTTTCCTCAAGCTTATCCAAAAAATATACTGGGAGGACAGAAAAATCTTCACATAAATTGTTTAGACCATAGTTTGGTATTTCTATGTACATTTTTTTTTATATATAATGGTATCCTAGTTCATGCCGATAGTTTGTTTTCAAATAATTTTTCAATTTGACCTTGTCCATCACCCTCAGAGATTTTGCACATATATAACGACTGGTTGTGCATGAATAATGAAAATGTCACCCTGTTGTAAAGGGACTTTTGCTATGTGATGGTATAATAAAATTTTATTGCTAGTTAAGTACTGGAATCTAGTTGATCAAGTCAGTTATGTGTCTTTATTTTTTACCTAGGGGATATTGTATGTAATTTCACTTATGATTGCATAAATTGGCATCTTTTAAAAATTTGTTCTTTTTACATACACATGACAGTAGAGTGTATTTTTGACATATTATACATACATAGAGTATGACTTAGTTCTAACTAGGATTTCATTCTTGTTGTTGTACATGATGTGCAGTTTCACTGGTGGTTTTTTCATATATGAATATAGGAAAGTTGTGTTCAATTCATTCTACTGTCTTTCCTATTCCCATTCCCCCTATCTTCCCTTTATTCCTCTTTGTCTAATCCAGTGAATTTCTACCTTTTCTATACTGTTATTGTGTGTTGGCATCCACCTATCAAAGAGAACATTTGGCCTTTGATTTTTGAGATTGGCTTGTTTCACTTAGCATGATAGTCTCCAGATCTATTCATAAATGGGGCATCTTGTACATTTTAAGATTACATATTTTCAGATTGTTATCTGAAGAATTACAGATAATAAGGTACTATGTAGAAGGCACTGTTTTAAGCTCATTGTATGTATCTGTTACCTTGTTATACTTTCCTATTGGTTCTTGCTTAAATTTCCTGTATAATTATGACAGTTTTCTTTTTCTTATAGATATTTTCACATTTAAGGTTGTATATAGTATCCAAAAGTTTAGTTACTTCTGTTTATGTTGCTTCTGTCTGTGAGCATATGTGTATAGGGATAATCTTAAAAAACATTGATTAAAAAGTCTGATTTATAAAACATTGATTTTTTTAACAGTTTATTATATACACGTATAATATCATTTAGATGAAATCCAACAATAGGCAAAACTAACCCCAGGGTGATAAAAATAAAATAGTCTCTTTGGAAAGATTATTTACATATTCTGTAGATCATTTGTTATGTTGATTATAGGAGAATATGTAATTAACAAAACTAATGGATCTATCACTTAAAAGCTCTGTTTTATTATATGTAATTTTAAAAAAAATTTGAAAATATGTTAACTATCAACATTTTTCATATTACCATCTTTGCTCTTTCTTACCTCTTTTGGGGGGAAGGGGATGTTGGGAATTGAACCCAGGGCCTCATTCATTTATGCTAAGCACATGCTCTATCACTGAGGTACACTCTCAACTCCTCATGCTTTTCATTGTCTTCATGTTAACTTAGAACCTTTACATCAGATATACATAGTTCAGAGCTGAATTTCTGGGAGAGAAATAGTGTAAGGGCCAACATTTCCTTAGTCATGAATGTTCAGTGTATATTTTTTCCAGGGTCAAATAGTTGAACGTAATAGAATTCCCTAATGCTTGATCTAATAGCTACATACCATTTATATATTTATGGATGACATCAGTTAATTTTACTTTGAACATGGTGTTGATTTTTATACAGATATAATTTTAGAGAAAAATGCCTAGTAGAATATATAAGAGTTGACACCAAAGTTTATAACATTTGGAATTGGGGCCTACTGATCTCTTAACTTAAATGTCTTTGTTCATTTGTTTTTTGATTAGGAGCCTATGAAATCCAGAGCACCACAGCTACATTTGGAATACAGATTCTACAAGCAGTTAGGATCTGGAGGTAAAGAATAATACATTAATTAAAGAATTTGAAATAAAATTGAATTGCATGATAGTCATTCTTGAGATTCAAAGAATAGTATTTTAAATTTGATTTAGTCATTTCTTGAGGGGCCAAGGTTGTGGCTTAGTGGTAGAGTGCTTGCCTAACTGCATGAAGGTACTGGGTTTGATCCCCGGCACCACATAAAAAAAAATAATAATAATAAAAACAAATAAAATAGAGGTATTGTGTCCATCTACAACTAAAAAAAAAAAAAATTAAAAAAAGAGTCATTTCTTGGAGGCTGTGCTTACCAGACATTGTCTTATTATAGTCTGAAAGGCCCTTATTTATTTTAAATAGAAAATTGGGAGCTTTTCGTTGGTGTTAGCACAGATTGAGAATATTATAAAAAAATTGAGAATATAAAATACATATAGCTTCCATATTCTTAGCCTTTTGAGCAATATTATAGCTATTGAAGTTTATTGTGGTCTTGTAATAGACTGAAAAATAGTACCATTAAAGATAGTCATATGATAATCCCTGGAACCTGTAAGTGTTACCATATGGCAAAGAGTTTGTAGACATGATTTTTTTATAACTTTTTTTTTTTTTTTGAGAGAGAGAGAGAAAGAGAATTTTTTTAATATTTATTTTTTAGTTTTCGGTGGACACAACATCTTTGTTTGTATGTGGTGCTGAGGATCGAACCCAGGCCTCATGCATGCCAGGCGAGCGCGCTACCGCTTGAGCCACATCCCCAGCCTGACTTGATTAAATTAAGGATTTTGAGATGGAAAGATTTTGGATTATCTGGGCAAGTCCTAAGTGCAATCACAAACATTTTATATACACAGAGTCATTTTATATACACAGAAAAGTAGAGAGTCATTTTATATACACAGAAAAGTAGAGGGCAATGTGACCATGAGGGAAAGATGGACTGATACTTCCATAAATCAGGGAATGCTTGTAGCTATGAAGTCTTTCTTGCAAGAGGCATCTAGGATTATCTCCTGGAGCCTATAAAGAGAGCGTGGCCTTGCCAGCCCCTTAAGACTGATTTCAGACTTATGCTATCTAGATTTTCAAAGAATACATTTCTATTGTTTTAAGCCATCAGTGTTTTATTAATTGTCACAGTAACTGAGAAACTAACAGAAGTGTATTTTTATATAAACTTTGGATTCAAGTGAAAATGAGTATTTTGTGTCATAGGAAAAAATTAATGGAAACATTTTGTACTGTACCTTATATTTCTTCTGTTAAAGCTTTTCACAGCTCTAGTTTTGTGTACTCTTATTCTTTTAATCATAATAAATTTACTTGTACAGTTTTTTTTTTTAATAATGTAGGTAGGGCGTTTAGTTTCCCCAGATTTAATAAAATGGAATTTTTATGTATTGTTATTATTTTTATCATGCATTCTTTTGTAAGCTTGTTTACATTATTATTATTATTATTATTATTTTATCATGTATTGTTTTGTAAATTCATAGAGCTGTCTATTTCTTCATATAGTACAGAGATTTGTGTTTTTTTTTTTTTATAAGAGTAAAACTTTACAAATGGGTCATTGCAGGGACAACAAGTTTAAAATTTTGTGTTAAAGCATCTAATACTATAAACAACAACAACAACAACTACTACTACTACTACTACTTCTCTTCCTCCTTCTCCTTTTTTTTCCCCCCCACTTAAGTTCTTGTGGTACTGGGGATTAAATTCAGGGCCAAGCACTTGCTAGGCAAGTACTCTATCACTGAGCATCCCCTACCCAACAATAGGCTTTGTATAATGCATTTTTAAGTCTGATACAAACAGGCCTTTGTTAGCTTTCCATGACAGAACACCTGAGGTAATTAATTTATAGGGAGGAAAGATTTATTTTGTTTCATGGTTTCAGTCTATGGTCAGTTGACCCTGATGTTTTGGGTCTGTGCCAGTAGTAATATATCATGGCAGGAGTATATCCATGGAGGAATTCTGTTCTGCTTCTGGTAGCTTGGATTCAAAGAGAGAGGGAGGAAGGGGCCAGGTCCTAAATCTCCTTTAAGGGCACATCTCTACTGACTTAACTTTCTTCTACTAGGCCCCATGGCAGAGGTTTTACCATCTTTCAATAGTGCCACAGGCTAGCAACTAAACCTTTAATAGATGGGCTTTTGGAAGACACTCTACATCCACATGGTAGCAGGACCTCGGTTACCAGAATTAACACTGACAAATGAGTTTTAAGTTATGGCGATTAAACTAATTGTATGTAAATCCATACATGTTAATTAGGACTGTCAGGTAAGAAGTAGAAAAGAAGAAAACAACACAAATTTATTGACATATATGCTGAAAATTCCAGGAAATAACCTACAATATGCGACATTGCTTTATCCAGGGTTTCAAACACCGTCATCAGTATCTTGACTGCTTATGATTTACTGTTCTTTGTATGTATAAGCTCCACTGTCTGGTTGCCTCTGCTTAAAGATGGCAAAGGTAGCCATCATAGACTAGGCTTAGCAATTATAAAAACATCCTTTTTTTCTAAAAATTCTCCAGCAAAAGTGCTAGGACTAAATTTTACTGTTTTATATTGAGTCCCATTCTTCTTTTGTTTGAGTCACTATGAATTTGATTGCCCAAAGTGAGGTTATGTGCACATCCCAGGAACTACCTGGACCTTAGGAACTGAGATTGGGAACAATGGTTGTCTATTGGGAAATTGAGGTGTTGTTAGAAGGCAGATTGGGTACTATGAAGATAAAAACACATAGTTCTATCTATTAAAGAAGTAGAACTTTTATTTAGAAAATGGTTTAATTTGATAAGAATAAATAAGTCAATTTGGAATTTAGTTGTATTGAGTAATAAAAGTATACTTTTAGTATCTTAAAATAATTCACCCATTTTAACTTTAAATTATGTCAGAGGTTGTTATAATAAAAATTAAACATACATTTATATATCTTTTTGCAGTCACATACCATAGGACTACTGTGTAGCACAGGTGCAGGTACCACCCTTTATTGGGTAGCTTTTATACTTAAGGAGGTTTCCTGCTGCCATGGTATTATTTCTGTAGATTGAAATGTGAATTGTATTGCCAGAAGATGTGTATCATAGTGGCTGTGAAACTATGATAAATGTGATATTTTTAAATATTTCATGAGTCACATGAATTTTGAGTATTTTTTTTAATTTATATCAGTTGTGAAGTTTAAAAGAAAAAACAAAAAACACTTTTACGTACCCATGTGAACCTTATAGAAAAACAAGAGTGCTTAATTGGGAGAACTGGTGACTGAAACAATTTTATTTTGGAATTGATAGCTGGAATGATTATATTTTCAGATTGTTCTTAATCATATATGAGCCTTTTTAAGCAATTTCAACCTATAAATCATGCAGTATAATATTTAATTTTGATAACTTGCTTGTTAGCATTGTCTTTAAAAATATATTAAAGTTATACTTAATTAATATGCAGAATATATAAATAATTCCTAAACTTAACAAAAGTAGAACCAATTCAATTAAAAAATGGGTAAGGAACTTTAACTCAGCATCACTAATAAATAAGGAAATGCAACTCAGAATCTTATTGAGATGCCACTTCACCCACTTCAGTATAGCAACTAAACAAACAAAACTAAAACCAGAAAATAGCAGTATTAGTGTGGATGTGGAGAAATTGGAATTCTTGTACATTAATGGTGGGAATTATAAAATGGTGCAGCCATCATGGAAAACTGGTGGTTCCTCAGTAAATTAAACAGAATACCATTTGATTTAGAAATTCCACTTCTGGATACGTATATAAAAGAATTGAAAGCAGGGACTGCAACAGATAACTGTACACCCATGTTCACAGCAGTATTGCAGTAGCCAAAAGCTGTAAGCAAGTCAGATATCTGTTATAGAAAAAATGTGGTGCATAATTTCTGTCGAATATTATTCAACCTTAAAAAGGAAAGGAAGTTTGGAGACATGTTACAATATAGATGCACCTTAAGGATGTTGTGCTGAATGGCAGAGGCCGGTCAGAAAAAGCCAAATACTCTGATTCCACTTTCTTGAGGTACCTAAGTAGACAGATGCATACAGATAGAAATTATAATGGTAGAGCTTATGGGAGAATAAAAATGGAAATTATTGTTTAAAGGGTGTTTTAGTTTAAGATGATGAAAAATTTCTGGAGATTGATAATGGTAATAGTTACATAACAATGTGAATGTACTTAGTGCCACTGAACTGTACATTTAAAATGATTAGAATGATAAAATTATGTTATGGATTTTGCCATAATAAAGCATAAATTAAAAGGAAAGATTTATTTAGAATTATTTTGTGAGGTATCTGTGAAAAAGTAATTTGTCTGGTTCTGTCTGGGTTTTAGTCCTCCTGTAAGTTCGTGTGTCTAATTTTCCTTTCACCTAGCATCCCTGGAAACATCCCTCTTTTTTTTTTTTGTTTACTGAATCTGTTATATATGATCAAAAGTTTGTTTTCAGTGTGCGTATGAAGGAGTGACTTACATTACTTAGCTTTAGCTAAGGATGAGAATATTGTTTTATCCCATTTTCACTTTCTGTGATAGCAAATTTTTTTTTTTAATATTTATTTATTTTTTCTTAGTTCTTCGCGGACACAACATCTTCGTTTGTATGTGGTGCTGAGGATCGAACCCGGGTCGCACGCTCGCTAGGCGAGCGCGCTACCGCTTGAGCCACATCCCCAGCCCTGTGATAGCAAATTTAATGTACTAAATAATCTTGTTTTCTCACATCTACTTAGCTTTCCCTAAGTAAAATGAAATTCTAGATTTGGGAATCATCAGCACCGAGATGGTTTTGAAAGCAAAGGGAATGTACAAGATCTCTTTGGGAGAGTACAGGGATGGATAAGAGTAAAGGATTGAGGACGAAGCTGTGGGGTCCATTGCGTTGGGTAGGAATGATTTGACTGTTAGTTACAAAAATTGTGATCCAAGTAGCTTAAACAAATAAAGGATATTACAT